AAAAAAAAAAAAAAAAAAAAAAAAAAAAAAAAAAAAAAAAAAAAAAAAAAAAAAGGTACTGGTGCCTCCCTCTCCGTCATCCATTACTTTCGATCACCCCAAAACATCGCTTCCTACCCCTCTCCAATCGATCCTTTGTTGTGCATACCACCAGTATACCATTCATTTTTGTCAGTGTCCACAAATGCACGTGCACACACATACACGCACATACAATTCAAAAAGAAGAAAAAAGACAGGATTCCTCAGCCACCACGTCTACACGTTACAATGTATTTATTGTACTTGGAGTCATTCCTTCGTACATACTTACCCCTCGAGTTCGAAGACAAAACAAAAGGAATCGTGACATTGTAAGCAAAAATTGTAATTAGAGACTCGCTCGTTACGTTTCATCACCTTGTGATCCTTTCAGCCTCTCGTCCTTGTCATCCCGCTGCTGCGGTATCCTCAAAAAGTGTAGCGTTGAGAGCATATCGTCATAAATACTGTTATGCATGAACAACACATGGTAATTATTATAACCAACGATACGCAAAGTTGTTTCTCCTGTCACTGTAGGGAAACGGACTGCAAAATACAAACGAAAAATATATACATATTTATATGCGCGTGGTATACGTCCATGTGTAAATTATGTAGGCCGACACACATTCACACACTTGGAATATAAACGAATGACGAAATGAGTAAATTCGTGCAAAATCACAAATACACATACATACGAGACACAATGTGCGGAAGAAAAAAAAAAGTTGAGTATGTGTACGCGTACATGAATTATTCTAAACAAATTTTGAAACCACGTACAATTGTTTTCTTGGCGAAGATTGAGATGCATAAAAAAAATTAAAGTATATGAAATCAAGGTATATTTATTTCACTTATACAAAGCAGCCCCGTAAGCACGTCATTTTGTCTCCGAGTTGTGAGGTCGTCTGAATAAACGTTGTCTGATGAATTATAAAATATGTCTATGATTATTAAAAAAAAAAAATATATAACGCGCAAGAGACGAACACAATCGACGGCCCCCCGGTTTTTTTTTTTTTTTTTTTTTTTTTTTTTTTTTTTTTCGTCGTAGTACAAAAACACACTACACACGTATAGTATGAATTTGAAAAAATTTGTTGCAGAGGAAAACAAAAAAATAGTTCACACGTGAAAAAACACACCCACACACAACTATTTGATTCGATCTGTATTTAATCATTGCTGCTGAGGAAGGAAAAT